GGGGGGGGCGGCCCCGGCGGGGCCCGGGGGGGCGGCGGCGGGTCCCCGTCGCCTCCTCCGTTGCTGTCGCCGCTGTTGCTGCTGCTGGCGCTGCCCGGCGGGGCGGTACCGTCGGGGGACAGCGTGATCCTGGGGATGCGGCTGGAGGAGAGCACGAAGCCGGCGGCGGGGGCTCCGGCCCGCGGGCCCATCCGTGTCACGGAGGGCAGTGAGCTGCTGCTCCGCCTCTACGGGCTGGGGCTGGGCCCTCGCACCGGCGAACGGGTGGCCTTCGCCGAACTGCGACCGGCCGCCAACGCTTCGGTTCCCAACGGCACCTGCCCCGAGCGCTCCCAGGACCTGCTGGTGCAGCCCGGCCCGGCCGAGGCCCGCGACACCTCGGCTCTGCTGCGGGTCCGCGTCCAGCCTCTGCGCAAGGACGAGCAGGCCAAGACCTACGTCCTCTGCACCCAGCGCCGCCCCGGCCAACCCTGGTTGCCCCATCAAGGCCCCGACGGACGTATCGTGGTGTTGGAGGAGAAGAAGTCGCTGCTGCCCCTCTGGCTGCAGGTGATCCTCATCGCCGGGCTGCTGGTGCTGTCGGGGATGTTCAGCGGCCTCAACCTGGGCCTCATGGCGCTGGATCCCATGGAGCTGCGCATCGTGCAGAACTGCGGCACCGATAAGGAGAAGCGTTACGCCCGGAAGATCGAACCCATCCGCCGTAAAGGGAACTATTTGCTCTGTTCCCTGCTGTTGGGTAACGTGCTGGTTAACACCACCCTCACCATCCTCCTCGATGACCTCATCGGCTCCGGCATCGGCGCCGTCGTCGCCTCCACCATCGGCATCGTCATCTTCGGGGAGATCGTGCCCCAGGCGCTCTGCTCCCGCCACGGCCTGGCCGTGGGTGCCAACACCATCGTGGTCACCAAATTATTCATGCTGGTGACGTTTCCCCTCTCCTACCCCATCAGCAAGCTCCTCGACTGCATCCTGGGCCAGGAGATCGGCACCGTCTACAACCGGGAGAAGCTGGTGGAGATGCTGAAGGTGACGGAACCCTACAACGACCTGGTGAGGGAAGAGCTCAACATGATCCAGGGAGCCTTGGAGCTGCGCACCAAGACAGTGGAGGACGTGATGACTCCGCTGCAGAACTGCTTCATGATAAACAGCGACGCCATCCTGGACTTCAACACCATGTCGGAGATCATGGCGAGCGGCTACACCCGCATCCCAGTCTACGAGGACGAGCGTTCCAACATCATGGATATCCTCTACGTCAAGGACCTGGCTTTTGTCGACCCTGACGACTGCACCCCCCTCAAAACCATCACCAAATTCTACAACCACCCCGTCCACGTCGTCTTTCATGACACCAAGCTGGATGCCATGCTGGAGGAGTTCAAAAAGGGTGAGGGGGTCAGGGGGGTGCTGCTTCACCGGGGTGCTACTTCCTTCTCCTCCTCCTCGGAGGCCGGTGGATGCCGGAAGCAAAACTCCAGGGAGTTCTCCCCTCTGGGGCTGGAGCTGCCCAGGCCGGGGCTGCCTGAGGTCCCCACCGTTTGGGTGGTCGTGATCCGGAGGGGACCGGGGGCCTGGGGACGTGCCACTGTGGTGTCGGGGACGGACAGCGCGGCACCAAACCGGGGGCAGCTGCTCGGTGCCCACAACCGCCCAGGCTTCCGGGGTGTAACGGCGCTGTGCCGGGGAGGGAGAGCCTCTGCGTTAGCGGCAGAGCAGCCCGTGCTCAGCGCCAGCCTCCAGAAACACTTTGGGAGTGTTTACTTGCTCCTTGTTTTTAATTATCGGCCCCGGAGGCCTTTGAATAGCTGCTGGAAAATTGCTCGGCTCCCTGATTTGGGTTTGGCTTTTTCTTCTTGGGCCTTTCCCCGCTGCGGGGAACAGTGCTGCTCGGTGCCGGCCCCGCTCTGCTTCCCGCTCACGGCATCGGGGCACCTAAAAGCTAGAGCGGCTGAGGGCTGGGAGGAGGAGCAGGACCTGGGCTCTCCGGAGGCTGAGCCTTTCCGGGAGCGGGAAAGGCCGCGTAAGCTCCGAGGCAGGATTTGACCTGCTCGAGGTTCCCACTCAGGGCTTTGCCAGACGGGCCGGGGACGCTCCTGTGCTCCCCGGCGCAGGGGACCAGCTGCCCGCGTCCGGGCGGGATGGAATAAAGAGCAGCTGTGCTGGGTGATGCCAGGCCAGCCCTCGGCCGTGTGTGACCCCGCTCTCTCCTCTGGCTCCCGTTACACCCGCCCGGGGATGGTTTGGGCACGTCACGAGAGCTGGGTGGTTTGTTTGTCAGGGGACATTTTGGGGAGGGGGGTCATGCTGAGATTCAGGGGATCTAATAATTCGTCCTTCAGCAAGAGCTTGACTTGAGCTTGGGCAAGGGTTTGGGAGCTGGTAGGTCTGAACCTGGATGATTTTTGAGGGTGAGCGAGAGACAGCAGCTCTGCTCCGGCCTCCCTTTGCGACTGTGCTTCCCTGGCACCCAAAAACATCAGCACGGGAGCAGCGCCCCTCGGTCATGGCTCAGTTGCGGCGATGACCTCGGGATCTCATTGTCTTGGAGCTGCCCTGATTAGTGAAAAACCTTGGCAAGTGCTTTTCCTTCAGTTCATCTCGTGCTGGTTCAAGAACCGCCATAGGAACGCGCGGCCGTCCCGCTCCACCCCATTTCCCAAAACCAGCAGCATAGAAGCAGAGCCCTGTTGCTGCCGGATCTGCAGTTACCCCGGCTGCTGGCACCAGCTTTCCCCTCTGATGAATCCTTATTAAAGGATTTAAAGCACACTCATTCCGGTTACAAAGCTGCCCATGTCCTGTATTGTTATTTTTTCATCGCTGCCTGTCTGGGTCATGAGCAGGTAATTTGTGGGGCCGCTGCCTGGGCTGGTTTTGAGGCCCCTGTCTGAACCCCGATCCCCTGAAGGCAGCACCACAGAGAGTCTCTGCCCTCATCCCACTGATGGAGACCTGGGTCAGAAGCAGGAGATGCACCCAGCAGAAGGATAAAGAGGGAAAATTCAACTGGCCACAGTTCCCGTCATCCTAACCGTGACACTCAGCCGCCGGACCTCTTCCCCCCAGTGCCACAGAGGTGTCCCAGATGCGGGTGACAGCTCCCACAGCGACGTCCAGCGCTTGGCTCGGCGCCTCTTCCCAATCTTTTCCTTCTCTGGGGCAGGAACGACCCTGTGGGGAGCTGGAGGTGTTGCTCTCCCCCGTCGTAGCATCACGGCAGAGCGGGTCCCAGGGTGGTGCGCGGGGCCCGTCGCGCCGTGCTGGCGATGCTGTGCCAGCCGGCCCCGTGCCCTTTGCTCCGGCGGTTTGGGCTCCCCGTGGCGTGTTTGCTTTGCCACCGGCCGCTCCCCACCGAGCTCAGCCTTGGCAGCTTGGCCGGGAGAGGAGCCGCTGCCTGACTCATCGGGGCTGGCCCCGCAGCCCTGATCCTTTCACCTCTCCCTGCCTGGCACACGGTGAGCGGAGGAGCCAGCGCGCCTCACCGAGGGGGTGAGACGGGTCGGTGAGAAGTTTTCACTGCTCAAGCAACAATTTTAGGGTCTTTTCGCCCCTCTATGCACCGCCTTTTGGCAACGGGGTTGCCTGAACTGCATGAGCTTAGTTGAAGAAGGAGAAAAAGGGGAGCTGCGTGGTGCCCATCCCTAAAATTAGCTTTTCCCTGAGCGACAAGGGGCCTGCAGCCGCCAGCTCTAAAATTAAATAGCAGATAGTGTTGGGGAGGGTAGATTGGTGCTGAAGCCGTAGCGGGACGGTGAGCAGGGCACCTTGCTGCTGGCCTGGGCAGGAGCATGGTGCTCGAGGTGGTAGAAGTGATTTTATTTCGGGCTCCGCTGAGGTCAGGGAGGGAACGTCGCCTTCCTCTGTGCCTCAGTTTCCCCAGGCTAAGGATACCGGTCCTGCGGGTGCATTGGCCTGGCCTGGGTGCGCTGCGTGTTTCCACGCGGCCGCTCAGCTCTCCCCAGAGCGGATGTTCCTCATCGAGGGTTTTTTTTTCCCGACGGGTCTGCGTGATTTTGGGACAAAGCAGGAAAAACATCAGTTCATGGAGAAGCTCAGCGGGCAGCCGGCAGTGGGAGCAGGAGCTTCGACACGAGCCGGCTGTTTGGATTTAGCTAGAATCAGGCAAACTGCGTCCTGTCTGCGTGGGGTACGGCCGGCAGGGCCAGGGGAGTTGTTAATTCAGGGCTGGAGAGGTCTTCCTGCCAGCAAGGACCTGCCTGCTCGTGGCCAGGGCTGGCCGGGCAGCGGCTGCCTGCCCTTGGCTCTCTTCCCCGGGATGTTTTGGCTCTGGGATCCAGCGCCCGCTGCAGCACCAGGTGTCCGGAGCGTTTCCTCCGGGATGGGACAGCCCTGGGTCAGCTTGGCAGAGCCGCCGAGGAAATTCAGAGAGGTCGGGGCTGAAAAAAACCTGACTCATAGCGGTGGTGGTGGCGGCGGCATTTCCACCGTGCCGGGGTGCCCTCAGCCCACGGGCACTCACCCAGCACCCTGCCACGCTCTGGTGACATGGGACAGGCTCCTCCAGGGACACATCCTGTCTCCTGTGAACCCCGTGGCCAAGTCCACACCCCACGGCAGCACCGAGGTGCCTGGAGCCTCGCGGGCGCCGCTGTTCTGGGCTTAATTACTGTCATTACACACTGGCAATTAGCGCCCAGCCCAGGGGCTCGTTTAGATTTTAACTGGTTTATTGTTTCCTGTGCAGGAGGGTGGTGGGGAGGGAAGAGCTGGTCCCGGTGACATCCCTGGGTGCTGGCACCCAGCGGTGAGGCTGGGGGTGCCCCGGGCTGGTCTCCCTTCCAACGTCTGTGTGTCTGTCCCCAGGGAAATCCCACCTGGCCATTGTGCAGAAGGTGAACAACGAGGGCGAGGGAGATCCCTTCTACGAGGTGCTGGGGCTGGTGACGCTGGAGGACGTCATCGAGGAGATCATCAAGTCCGAGATCCTGGACGAGTCGGATACATGCAGTAGGTTTTGGGCTCAGCCCTTTCCCCCCCTCTCCTCGCTGCGTGCCAGGGTCCCGCCTGCCCCCCCTGACACCCCGCTCCCCACAGCCGACAATGGCAGGAAGAAGCGGGTGGGCAACCAGAAGAACAAGAGGGACTTCTCGGCCTTCAAAGACCCCGTCAACGAGCTGAAGGTGAAGGTCTCCCCGCAGCTGCTGCTGGCTGCTCACCGCTTCCTCTCCACGGGTGAGTTTCTGGGGGGGATGAGCAAGCCCCCTGCTGCTCCAGGCACACGTGGGCTCCATCCCTGCGCTGAGAAGAAGTTGCTCCAACCATCTCATTTAGAAATTACAGGGGGGAGAGTCTTGTCCCACTCTCTTCCCCTCTGTGCCCCCCAAAACGAGAAGGGACAGGGCTCAGGGGTGCCAGCCCCGCCTCTGATCCTCGGCAAGTCCCTGTCCCTCCAGGATGGTCCTGTTCCCCAGCTGGCACGGGTGTCCCCAAGGCTGGGGCTGGCCTTACTGGGGACTTGGAGCTGGTGTTGGGGCCAGACCTGTGGGTTTCTGCCCCAGGGAGGTGTCAGTGGGGCCCAGCCTGATCCAGGCACCACCCTGAGGGACAGGGGGGACACACCCTCATCTGGAGAGACAAGGACCACAGCTCTGACCCCCCCTCCCCTCTCGCTTTAGAGGTGACACTCTTCACCCCCAACCTAATCTCAGAGAAGATCCTGCTGCGGCTCCTCAAATACTCCAACGTCATCCAGGAGCTGAAGTTCGACGAGGAGAACAAGAAATCCCCACACCACTTCCTCTACTGCAAGAACAAGGCAGCTGACTACTTCATTCTCATCCTGCAGGTACCCAGGCGTGGGGGGACGTTGCTTGCCATGCGTATGGGGGGGTGGGTCCCTTGGGTGAACCGTCACACCCCTGGAGGGCCGTGATGGGGAGGGTCTCATCCAGCACTGCGGGATGTGGCTCACAGGCTCGCTCTTTCAGGGCAAGGTGGAGGTGGAGGCCGGCAAGGAATGCATGAAGTTTGAAATGGGAGCCTTCTCCTACTACGGGGTGATGGCCCTTAGCCCCCCTCCGGTATCTGGTAAGCACCCCCCGATCGCCCGGGTGCCAGCGTGGGCAGAGCCCTCCCACCCTGTTTTAGAGCTGCCGGTGAGAATAGGAGGTACTGGAGGCTCTGAGCCTCTGCTGGTGCCCCCCAAGCCATCCTGGGGGGCTGCATGGCCAGCACTTGGCCCCAGGGAGACACCTGAGCGTGTCTGGTGGTGGGCACAGGGTCCGTGCCCGAGCTGGAGGCTGAAAACCCGCTGCCCTGACTCCGGGCTGCCCGCCCATTGCTGCCAGGCTCTGCGAGCGGCCAGGCCCCAACCCTCACAGTTCAGCTTGGGGCCCCCAGCACCCCACGAGGGGTCGAGATACCCTCAGCCACCCCGTCCTTTTCCCCAGAGGCTTCTCTTGACCTCGTCCTCTGCGTGTGTGTTGTGTTGTCCGTCTCTCTGCCCAGCCCCGACGCCCATCCACAAAGCAAGGGTCATTATTTGCCAGGTTGCCAGGTAATCGGTGCAGCTGCATGGCGTGCCAAACCCTGCTGTGACCGCATTAACCCGCCCGAGTGGGTGTCCCCACCCCATTAATGCAGCAACCCGGTATTTTGTCCCCCATACCGGGCCAGTTACGTGCCATTTTGTCCGGCTTTGCGTGCCGGGAGGCTGTTCTGGTTGCCACGCCGTGCTGTTGGCTTTCTAGCCCCACGTCTGAGGAAGGAAAGGCGGCTCCTTGCCCCGGCGTGGGGCTGGAGCGGGGCACGCCGCTGCGCGGTGTCACCCAGCCGCGCTCGCGGTGGCGTTGGGGTCCTGCGCGCCCCGTAACCGCCCCGATTTCTCCCACTGCCTTTGCCGTGGCTACGGCAGAGGAGCAAGGCAATGGCACCGAGTGTGGTGGCTGTCCCCAGAGGTGCCACTGTCCCCACTGCTGCATGTGGTTCCTGTGTCACCTCAGCTTTCCGAGCACATCACCAGGCCCTCCTTGTCCCCATAACCCCCACTTTGTCCCTAACCCCGCACAGGGTGACCTGTGCTTCGGGGAGTCACCGGCGTCCTTGGGCTGGAACTGTCCCCTGGGCAGCACCTGGCCTGGAGCAGGGGGACCGGTGTGGCTCCAGCCTCCCCGGCTGTGATCAGTGGCCTTTGGGCAGGTGACGGGCAGGGATCAAATCCGGCGCCACGTGGCGGAGCTGGGGGACGGCAGCGCTCAGCCTCAGCGCTGCTCTCAGGGGCACGCGCGTCCCGTCGCTCCCCGTCACCGCTGGGCTCCGTGTCCCTGGAGCCTGTGGGATGGGGACAGGGCTGCTCTGCACCCCATAACCAGCAGGCAGAGAGTTGCCAGGCCTCATCCCGCCGCGGCGTAAGACCCTCCCCGGAGTAGAGGGTCAGCGGCACGGCTAACCCCGTCCCTCCCGTCCCCGCAGAGGTCCGCTCCCCGTCCCACGTCAGCAGCCTGAACCGCTCGGCCTCCCTCAGCTACCACGAACGCTCCGACTCCATCTCCTCCCCCACCAGCGGCAGCAACAACCAGCTCAACGCCGGCACTGGTGCCCAGTACGTGGCCGACTTCAGCGTCCGCGCTCTCACCGACCTCCAGTTCGTCAAGGTGAGGCGGGTGCTCACCGGGACAGGGATGCCGCTGGCGGGGTCCAGCACTGCTCCTCATCCTCCTACTCCCTTATTATTATATTTTTTTTCCTGGTGCAGATCACACGGCAGGAATACCAGAACGGCCTGATGGCCTCCCGCATGGACAGTTGTCCCCAGTCCCCTGACAGCAATGCTCCCAAACCGGACGCCGGTTTACCGGAGAAACCGGAACCTTCCGCCACTGCCGACGAGACCACCAGTCTCCTGAACGAGAGGAACTGCCTGAGCCGCAGGAGCAACCACAGCCCCCTGGAAAACTCCATCTGACCCCGGCCCCGCCGGCACGCGCCGGGAGGGACCTCGCGTGCCCGTTTTAGGGACCCTTTCCCAGGTAGGAAACGCTCGGCGTCTCCTCGGTGAGGCCGTGCCCGGGTGCCGCGCTCGGTCGCCAGAGAAGCCCGGTTGAGCTGGAGGAAGCGGCGGCAGCAGCAGCGCGGTGGGAAACGGAGCTGGGATTTGCTGCTGCTTTCCAAACTGGCTTCTTATTTTTTTTTAATTAATTTAAACGGATGGCGGTGGAGACGGTGCAACTCTCCGCCGGCCGCCCCGGCGACGGCGCTCGTTCAGCTCAGGGAGCTTCAGGTCTCGTACGCCGCTTTGGGATGGGGGGGCTGTGTGTGCTCTGCCGTGGCCCCCCACCCCCGGGATGGGCATCCCGGCCCCTCTCCGGTGTTTTCGGGGCGTGATGGTGGACGGGGCACGCTTGGGTTGCGGCGTGACAGCGGCGTCTCGTCCTTCTCCCGGAGCGATGCCACGACCCTTCTCCGTGCCCGTTCCCCTTTCCCGCTGGCCCGGGGCGCCGGGGGCGATGTGACAGTGGAGAGCTCGGCAGCAGGCCTGAGGCCGAGGGGATGGGCTCAGCGTCTCGGGAGACCCTCCGCCATCTCGGGAGACCCTTCCCCAACCCCTCCGCCACCCACTGGTGTCACGAGTGTGTTGAGGACGGCAGGGACAGCTCCCCCCCCCATCCACCCCCGGCAGTTTCGGTGCCTTCCCCCCCTGCCATGGGGCATCTCAGGGTATCCATGCCGGGGGGACAGGGATCAGCTCGGGGTGGGGGGGACACATGGGGTGGGGGTGAAGGATCCGGAATTTTGGGGTGGCACAAAGCTAGTGACCAAAGTTGTACAGGCAGGAGGGGGCCAGCGCCGTCTCTCCCCCCCCCCCCC